TCGCAGTTTTCATTTGGTGAGTTGATCAGCGCGGAGGAGGGGGGGGCGGGGGTTCGACGAGCGAGAAGATGCGTGCTCCATTGATTGACCCTAAAAAGGGAATTCGTTTGTTTTCTTCCAGTTATTTGCCACTCTAAGTATATCCGTAGAGAATCCCTCGCTGTATTTCGAGAGCAAACATAACCATTGCTATGATAAAGCTGACCCACGGGAAACCCCTTTTCCTGGGCCAGGAAGAACCCTTTCTCCGGTCGACGGGCGACATCCACGGTTTGGGACGGAGAATCTGCCCCTGTACCAGTGTACAAGTGCATTTCAAGTGCCCACCGATGGCTTGGCACCCAGGCAGGCCGGTTTGCCCGCCAGTCCTCCGTACAGCGTACATACAAGGTACCTACCTGCGATGGACCACCAACACGAAGCCGTGCAAGCGCCGGGCAGGCTGGGCGTATTGTATGCAGGATGTGACCATACCATACGGCCACCTGCTCACCAATCTCCCCCCTTCCTCTCCTTCCTCTCCTCTTTCTCTCCCCATTGTTCGTCGTCCAACCTCAACCTCAACCTACCACCGCCTTCATCATCGCCAACCACCTCCATCCTCTCTCACTCTCTCTCTACATCCCCTCCACATCACGGTCTCCGTTCAGCTCGGATTGGAGTCTTTACTTAGTCATCTTCAACTGAGGGAGGAGGCCTATCCCCTAGGCCAGTAAAACCCTGATTCACTCTTTGCGATTGAGACTGGTCCTGGCTCACCTCAGCTCGCTCAGTCGACCACCTATTTTATTCTTCCATCAACCTGTCCGTCCTCACATAACGAGAGGTTGACGGGCATTTTTGAAGGGGCTTTGTGGACTAGCTTGACTCTGTTTCTAAATTCATTGCAATTCGTCCATACTGCTATCTACTGTGAGTAAACAGGCTGGCATTTCCCTTTTTTTTATGGTTTGCTTGCTCTGGGTGGTGCAGCCCGTTGTTTCGGGATGGTAGCATTGAGAGGTGACCAACTGCAAATCTTTCTCGCCAACGGCAATGAATGCACCGTTCCCTGTACCCTCTTGTCCCCCACCGGAAAACATCTAATCGCCACGAACACTTCTGCTCTGCTTTTTCTCCTCAGATCAATCTTGGATATTTTTCTGTCTCTTAACATACTGATCGACCAACCTGGGTTCTGTAGTTTTCAGTTTCGCCTGACCTATTTGGAGTGATCCATCTCTCGTTCTTCGCGAAATCCCAATCCTGACCGCAATTCGTTGCATATCGCCTTTGAACCCGCCAAAAATGGGGTGCGGAATGAGTACTGAGGATAAGGAGGGGAAGGCCAGAAATGAAGAGATTGAGAACCAGCTCAAACGGGATAAACTGTTGCAGAGGAATGAGATCAAAATGCTTCTGCTTGGTGAGCAGCCAACTCCCTATGCCGATTTCCTTGGCGAAATCCAGATTTTTGACTGACTGACTGACTGACTGACTGACTGATTCTATTTGATCCACTCAGGTGCTGGCGAGTCGGGTAAATCTACCATTTTGAAGCAAATGAAGCTCATTCACGAGGGTTCCTATTCGCGGGATGAGAGGGAGTCTTTCAAGGAGATCATTTTCAGCAATACCGTCCAGTCCATGCGTGTAATTCTTGAAGCTATGGAAGGGCTTGATATTCCCTTGGACGACCAGCGTGCCGAATACCATGTTCAGACGATTTTCATGCAACCAGCTCAGATCGAAGGTGACAGCTTGCCCGCTGATGTCGGGGGCGCCATTGAAGCTTTATGGAACGATGCTGGTGTACAAGAATGTTTCCGAAGATCCCGCGAGTATCAGTTGAATGATTCCGCACTATAGTAAGTTTGCTTTCCATTGGTAATAGAGTTCGCCGTCTTACCACTATTTGTAGCTACTTTGACTCTATCAAACGTATTGCCGCGTCCGATTATTTGCCCAGCGACCAGGATGTCCTCCGCTCCCGTGTCAAGACCACCGGTATCACAGAGACAACTTTCATCATTGGCGACCTCACGTACCGTATGTTCGACGTTGGTGGTCAGCGCTCTGAGCGGAAGAAATGGATCCACTGTTTCGAAAATGTCACCACCATTCTTTTCCTTGTAGCCATCTCAGAGTATGACCAGCTTCTGTTCGAAGACGAAACCGTCAACCGTATGCAAGAAGCTCTCACACTTTTTGATTCTATTTGCAACTCGAGATGGTTTACCAAGACCTCGATCATCCTCTTCCTGAACAAGATTGATCGGTTCAAGGAGAAATTACCTGTCAGCCCAATGAAGAACTACTTCCCTGACTATGAAGGTATACTCACCCCGAATTTTGTTTATTGGTGGGCAATTCCATATTGACAATTTATATTAGGTGGTCCCGAATACACCGCCGCTTGCGACTACATTCTCAATCGCTTCGTATCGCTTAATCAGGCTGAAACTAAACAAATCTATACCCACTTCACTTGCGCCACGGATACATCGCAAATCCGATTCGTCATGATGGCCGTTAACGGTATGTGATCCCCACTTGAAAAGATTGCATGTTCGGGAGTTTCGAAAATGTGGTACTGATTGTTGAATCCAGATATAATCATCCAAGACAACCTTCGCCTCTGTGGATTGATATAACGAAGTCCCTTGAATTGGTTTTTGGCTTCTCACTAATTAGATAATCTCCTTTCGTTTCATCTGTATTTGATATCACCCGCTATTTCCTCACTTTTCAGGATTATTTGCCCACGTTCAATACCATGGCCAACAGTGCCGCACAGGTTTTCTTTCACACCTACCTTCTCCTACTCTACCTTTTACCGGGGCTGACGGTGGCGTTGTGACCTTCTCCCATATTCTAAACACACTATGGCGTGATGCACCTCTTGTCAGCGACGCACCACGGGACATACGATCTTCCCTTTTTCTTTTTTTGACCTCAAACCCCCGCCTTTGGTCTGAGGAATGAAAACGACACCGTGATACTCTGACTTTCTCCCCGTGCGCCCCGGATTTCTAAGGGCAGCGCTGCAAGGCTGTTAACCGTTCACCTTCATTTTGTTCTTATTCCTGCATGATTTCCTACTCAGCTTGTTTCATTTTTATATCTTCTTCTCTCCCCCTTTTCTAATTCCCTTGCTGTATTTCCCTTGATGTGTGTTAGTGTGTGTGGTTCTTGTGCTCCGGCCGTTTGCTTAGTTGTTTTCTTTCTTTTCTTTTCTTCTCTCATTTAACTTTCTGTATTCTTGTGATTTTATTTATTTCTTTAGTTTTCCTCTATTGACTTTATTTCCATATCATTTATTTGGTCAAATACCACGGGCTTCAATTTCATCTCTCATTTGTCCTACGTTAGTTGATTTTGCTGTTGATTTCCTTCCT